ATCTCAAGGTCGGCGCGGATGAGGGTGTGGATGCAACAGATCATTCTAACTTAACTGATGCATTTACTGAGAGAGAGCCGGAAACGGATCAAGCGCCGTCAGTGTTAGGCAGGCGATCTTTTATTGACGATATATTGATTCCGGCCACGTCACGGGCATTTTTGTACGACAAGGTCGAAAGATTATTGACAGCATGCGACCGATGAAATTTGTCGATTATTCCGACCAAGAGTTTTTGGGGACGGCGTAAGGTGGATTACTTAGGTCATCAGGTATCTTTGGCTGGGTTGGAGGCCAATCCAAAAGATCTAGGATCGCTGGTTAACATTCTTTTCCCCACAATTTTGCAATCCATGCAATCGTTCCTGTGTAGCTTGAACTATTACTGTCGTGTTATAAAAGGTTTTTCATAGATGCATCAGTGTTGTAGGAGTTACGATGGGCGGATTTTTTAAAAGAGCCATGCGGGAGCTCGTGATGCAATGTCGGGAAGTTGCGATAACATATTACAAGGGGGTGATCATGATCCAAATGATCGATCTCGGTGGGAAAGGGCCGCCATTGCATTCACTTTGCTGAAGGCCAAGATCGCTACAACCCCGATCCTTAAACATTTCGATCCAGATCGATTCCCGGTTATCATGGTATATGCTAGTAAGTGAACAGTATCGGCATCTCTATTGCAAGAATATGACGGCGTATACGGGCCGGTGACATTCACGAGTCGCACACTGAAGCCTTATGAAGTTAATTACGGTATGGTGGAGAAAGAAGTTTTAGCCCCACTTCTAATCTTGGAAGTGTGCTACACCATGCTTGTATCCCGAGAGATCAATGTGCGCACTCGATATTCGACATTAGCTTGGCTAGACCAATCTTCTGGCCTCAAAGAAAGACTGGGGAGATGATCTGCGCTGCTATCAAATTGGACACTGGAGGTCAAGAGATTTAACAAAGGAGAGGATGAAATACTAGGCGCTCTCGCATCTAGTATAACTCCGCGAGATGAGGTAGATGATGCGTTGATTGCGATCACTCCACAGAAGAAACCTAAACAGTTGGTAACTATGCATCCTCCCACGGTAGCCATTGATGAATGCCTGTTGGTGGTCAGTTTTGACGGATCGGCACAGACTAAACGGAAGAGCGGGGCATATAGTGCGATCGTGTGGAAGCTACCAGAATGGACCATCATCTCGGCCGCTTTGAAATACGCGGCAGGTCTGACGGTGAATGCAGCAGAATATCGTGGCATGTTGTTGGGTCTCGCGATGCTGGACAACCAAACCAGGGGACCAGATATTATTTGTGGTGACTCGAACCCAGTGATCAGGCAAATGCGGGGAGATATGGACTGTAAAGCGCCCGGCTACAGTTATTGCGTCATAAAGCAATGCAGAAACTTCGATCTTGGCCAAAACACGAGTTCCTACACACGAAGAGGGAGTGGAACCGAAGCGCGGATCGACTAGCCAGTGCAGCTTTGCAGCAAGAGGGAGGTGTCATTGTGAGCTTAGATCAAAACGTGCAAAATCTGATATCAATCAACAGGCTGCACGAGTTACTTCTGCCGGAAAGGACAGATCGCGTGGTGAAAAAGATAGCGATCACACAAACCGCGCGGCGAAGACGTCAACAACCCGAAGTTTTACAGGAAGAAATAGTGCAGCGGATGCGGATCGAGCGGATAAAACAATTGCAAGAGGAACAGAGCTGGATCGCCAACTTGAAGGAATATCTTGTTGATGATGTGACCCAGTTAAACGCAGAAGATGCAAAATTAGGCACTCGGATCGCTCCATACTACGAAGTGGACGAAAACAAATTGCTGTTCTTCAGCCTCCGATCCGCTAAGGAATCAAACGATCGTATGGAGATGGTCCGTCTGGTGGGACCGTAATTGTTGCAGCAAGTTTTAATGCACTATTACCACACAAGCTTCGAGTGTGGTCATCAAAGGATCGGGAGGACTTATCAGCGAATCAGATCTAATTTTCTTTGGAGAGGATCGTATCGGAGTGTACAACGTTATGTTGGCGAATGCGTGGACTGTACAACCGGGAAAGGTCTACACGAGATCCGCGGCAGATGCTTGGGAAACATACAGGCTACATACCCATTTCAGGTGATCGCGATGGATCACATCCCATCATTGCCGCGGTCATTTAAAGGAAACACAAAACTGCTGCTGTGGGTAGATCTTTTCTCAGGATATATGATCGCGAGAGCAAGTTCGTCGAGGACCGCGCACACGGTCGTTAAAGGTTATGAAGAATGTGTGTTTCGAAGGTTTGGAGCCAGTGAAGTTATACGTCACGACAGGGAGCCTGGATTCATGTCCGACTTTTTTCGAACATTTAATCGGATCGCAGGGCAAAAGCAACGTGCAACCATGGCGTACCAACCGCTAGCGAACGGAACTGCGGAGCGTATGGTACAGACGTTGTTTTGGTCGATTTAGGTGTACGTCACGGACGTAGAACAGAAATAATGGGATGAGTATGCAGAACGGTTGACATTCGCTATGAACACGGCCAAGATTGGATCCGTGGAGACACTCCGTTCAATTTGATCCATGGCTGGGATCCAAGGCCGACGTTGGAAGCAACATTACCGTTGGGGAGCACTAAAACACGCGATGCTGACCCTAGAAGGTGGCGATATAACGTCCAACGTCAAAAGCAGAGGGCGAGAGCAATTTTAAAAACGAACGTCTCAATATCGCGATCCAAGATCGAGCGGATCGCAAGTTCGGCTCTGCTTGGACCGAGGCAAAGATGGCTATGCTCGTAAGTTAGCACATATGTGGCATGGACCGTTCCGAGTGGCGGAGTTATGTGGGGAACATGCTGTTCGGGTGGAGATTTCAGGAACTCCATACCGATTGTTCCCGATAGTGCACGTCTCCAAGTTAAAGCCAGTCGTACAGTTTCCCGATCGCCCAGGAAGTGTGCTAGTGACTAGATGTGAGGATCGTGTGGATTTCGATGAGTCGTCGTTGCCGGTATATAGTTGGGAACACGACTTGGCTGCTGACGAATACGAAGTCAAGAAATTTTAGGACGTAAGATCAGGACGTAAAATTCGTTATGGCCGAGTTCATTGACAGTTTCGAGTTCGATGGAAGCAACAAGACGAATCGACCTGGGTAGACGAAGCGGACCTGAACTGTGGCGCGTTATTGCAAGGTTTTCGAGCGCAATCGTGCGAGTCAAAACCGGTTGAAGTTATGCAGTCCTATGAGGAGGAAACCGAAGATTAACGAGTGATCGGAGTGATGAGCGGTTGGCGCATGCTAAAAGGTGGACGCGAAATGGTGGATAGGCATATGTAAAAGGAGATTGTATGAGGTGATGGATAGATGCTGTATGTAAAATGAGTGGCGATAGCGGATCGAAGGGATTCGATTGCGGTAAAAAAGCCGAAGAAAAGAAATTGATCTCAAGATGAAGAGCAAGATGAAGGATCAAGAGAGATTGTACTAAATTGTGAAACTATCTGAATCGAATTCTAGCGATCAGGCAGGAAAGAACTTACCTGGCAATCGTACGATCGACGATCCGGGGTGATCAGCGATAGAAAATCGATACTGGGAACGTCAAGGTTCAGCGGCATCCAGCTACGGGAGAGCAGCGATCAAATTTGGGTGCCCTTCGGTTCGTATCCCAGGCCAGGATACCAAGAGAAAACCTCTTGGAAAGAAGGGAAGTGCAGAATGAAGGGATCCAACAGAATGTATAGATCGCGACGACCTGCGATCATACCTTGCAAGATGAATCGAAGGATCGCCTTCCACCGAGGCCCAGCTCGTGATCTACGCTGCTTCCGCTGTTTCCATAGCTGGTCGAGCTCAGGATCGCTGGCCCGCTGTTCTCTGAAAGGAAGACTGCGTGCGTCGACTCCTACAACGCCTGTCAGTTTCGATCCTCGAACTCCAAGTATTGAGAGGCGAGCTGGTCGAATTAGCCGGTGCAAGGGAAGGAGATCGGCGCAATTTGACGTGTGACTGTCTCCCAAGGCTCTTGGGTGTATGAGGCCGCGACCTGGGCCGAACACGACAGCCGACGAGTCCACTCAGATGTGAGAGGACTCTTGGACACCATCCCGTCGGGAAGATGTAGCCTTTTGGGACGAGTTAAATGGCGGTACAGGAAGTCAGTGTCCATCTCTGCGATGCTCGTCCAACTGACCTTGCGCGCCGACCAGGGAGAAACCTGATTGAACGATTGCGGTACGCGATCTCGATATCCAGGGATCTACTGGTCGCGAGAGATCTTGGTGGGGGGAAAGCTATCATAATCCGCCGGAGATAACATCGGATTGACGTGATCACGAGGCGAATCAGAAAAGCTGATGGCACCATCCGATTCGCTGGACGCTACTCCGAAAAGATCTACACGGGATACCTTGGTCGTGGTCGGAATAACGGGATCAATCGGAGGTAGAGAGTCGCGCGAAAAACTCGGCGTGTCCATGACGATTGGATCCGGAGAGGTCCTAGCCGAACGTTGTGCCGCCCGATTGGACGCTCGACGACGAGTTTTGGTTCGTGCTACCTTGGAATCGCAAACTGTAGACGGGATGGCTTTACATTCAGCGGATCGGGCCAACTTGGAATCGCAAACCGGGGACAGCTTAGTTTTGTACCTCATAGATCGAGTCACTTTCTGGGGAGGCGAAAAATTTAACGATGGTGAGGGATCGCAAAATCGCTTGTGACTCGATCCTGAAACGTTCTACATCGGCTGAGGAGTCGCGGGGACGGGCGGGTGGGTAGACGATCCCATCTTCGTAGATGTGGCTAAAGTATCCTCAGATGCCAACGACGCCATGCGATCCCAAAGGGTCATGTGATTTTGTACGGCGAAATCACGTTCGGAAGCCACATCCCGGAGCTGAACTCGCATCTGGTCCAACATAACGTCACGATCCGATACGATGCGACGCAATTGATCACACTCTGCGGATCGGACAGATAAAGAATCCTGCGTCTCGCCCGGTTAGGCCTGAAACCTCGTTACCTGCTTGAGTGCGTGACACAGCTTTTCCTGGTCGGCCTGAAGCCCCGCTACTTGTTTGAGTGCACAACGCAGTTTCTCTTGGAGTTGGAGGCCGGTTCGATTGTACTTCGATTTTTTGCTCTTGGCCTTGTCCAATTTCACCACCAACCGCTCTCCCGCCTCGTCCATCTGCTTGCGTATCCCGGCGATCTCACGATCGGCTTTCTCCTGTGCAGCATGGCGTGATCGCACAGTCCGGAGAAATTATGATCTCAGATGCTCGATCAAGGCGGTCTGGTCGACCCGGTCTGCCAGCGCCTCCCAAAAAGCTTCGGACCGCTTGACCTCGTCTTCATAGCGGACGCGCAAGCGGTCTTACTTAATTTGGGCGAATCGAACATAATCGGACGCGGAAGTGCGGAGTTCTTGAAGATCCTCACTCAGCTGGCGATTCTGGATTATCTGCTGCTCCAAAGCAGCCTCCATAATCTTTTATCGATCCACGACAGTCTGTTGGAGGTCCAGGCGAAGGTAAAGCAAATTGATCGCTGCGTTTAACGTGGCTCGATCGACCGAACACGAGGCTTCGATCTGAGAACTTGGGAGCAAGATGGGCTCACTCGAATCCGGAGTTGGGACATTTTGGCCGGCGGAGGTCCTGTCCGGAGCGGGGATTGGAGAGGGTCGCGACAGAGAGATCGCGATGGAAAACCCACCAGTCTTCCCCCATCTGGGCAGATGCCACCGCGGCCGAGCAATCAAACTCGGTTACCGGCACGGTGGAGGAGTCTGGGATTGCAGTACTGGTAGGCGTCGAGGTTCCGACACCTGACGTTGGGATCGTAGAGGACGATCCGAGGGGCCTCGATCCTGAAGCAGGAGGAGATGCCTGATCCGGATGGACTGGATCGGACATCGTGTCAGAAGATGCGAAAGTGCGTCAAAAAAGGAACAAAGCACACAATGTTGCACAGCCAGATCAACACCGTATGTTGACTGACGGTGCAGGGGACGGTTGTGGCAAAGCAGTCACAAGGGAATTTCTATTGGGACTTGGATCGGCGATCGCACGGGTCGCACGCTTCAGTTAATCCAAGAATGCTATGATTGGTGGATGCAAGATGGGACGGGTAGCTGGCAATAGCTTACCCAAACCCCAAGTGAGCAGGATCGTCCAGCCTGGGACGAGCTTATAGTGTGGTCACTCTCGTTTTGATTACGCAATCCGTCGTGAGACATGGCAAGACAAGACCCTCCATCTCAAGGGAAGACCGCCATCCTAACCCAGGATCGCAAGTCCGATATCAGCTATGATCCGCTAGTAGGATCACGATCCGCTAGTAGGATCACGATCCGCTAGTAGGATCACGATCCGAACCCAGGATCTCAAGTTCGATATCAGCTGCGATCCGCTAGTAGGATCATGGGGATATCTTGGGTGGGCCACAAGAAGATACAACTGCTGATATACTGGGTGTGGACCACACAAATGCGAGGGGACGATCTTCCTGGAAAGGTAACACATGGTATCTGGTTAGGGTCTACGGATAGGCATAGGGGTAGGGTTTAGGTTGGCTGGTTGATATTAAACAGAGTTCAATTTACTTCACAAGGCACACGTTGTATCTTCCGGGTAGGATCTTTGGCCCCCGTCGAATAAAGAGTCGCGCTATACGTCTACGCAAGTGTCACACCTGGATTGTTTTGGCCAGGTGTGTTCAGAACTCTCAAGCAACATCAACTGCGATCGGACGCAGCAAGACACGTAAAGACAAGGCGCAAGATCGCGATACGGCTCAAGTGGTCAGAAGGCTCGCGAATCAAGCAACCACATAGTAGCCGAGGCGATCTCGTTGAGATCAGGGTAACTTATTTCAGTACCCCAGGGTAACTTATATCAGTACCCCCGTGATCGCGTGAGAATTTCCGCACGATCACAACCCCATCTCCAACACGGTCAAGTTTTCCTTCGAAACGAGTCTACATGGAAGAATGCAACCCGCCCTACCGACGGGTACACAAGGTGAGCAAATACATGAAGGACACGGAATCGGAGGAGCCCTCCGTTAGTCGGTCGTCCAGACGCCAGTGGAGAGTTGGGATCGACTCATAAAATGAGCGTTTGCCACTCCACCGGCGGCTGGTCATGTGAGGGAATCAACATCCCCACACAACTCTCCGACCTTCTGCTGGCGAAAGATCACAGGAGGGTGGCGGATAGTGCACGCGTTCAACAGGTTGAACGCTGCAACGGTACCGGCTCAGACGCCGATACCAAGGAAGGACGTAATTATTGATGGTATGTCAAAGAGTACCATCTTTTCGTCCATGGTTCTGATGGATGGATTCTATCAGATCCTCATGCGTGAACGGGACATCCTGTACACAGCAGTGAGCACCCAATTCGTATGCTCTGGAAGTGGCTAGTGATGCCACAAGGGCTAAGTAACGCCCCTGCAGCGTTCAACGAATGCGTTACGAATCGGTTGCGATCGGTGGGGGATTTTGTATTCAGTTACTTTGACGAATTCTTCGTCCATAGCCTGGCTATGGATGGAAAGACGGACGTGGAGGTTCATAGAATCCACGTCCGGAAGTTTCTTACACTTATTCGAGATCACAAGTTGTTCGCGAACCTCAAGAAGTGCATCTTCTCAGCGAGCGAAATACCACTTCTTGGATGTATCGCGAATGAAAACGGCGTGCGCCTTGTTACGTAAAAGATCAAGGCGATTAGCGACTGGCCTATTCCAGTCGACATCAAGGGACTCCGAAAGTTCCTTCGCTTGGCGGCGTACTTGCATAAGTACTCGCGCAACTACGCCGAGATGACAATACATCTCTCGTCTGTTAAAGAAAAATGAGAGGTGGTCATAAGGGCTTAGTGTCAGCTCTCCTTTGAAGGAATCAAGAAAAGCTTATTACAATTGCCAGTGTTGGCGATTGCGGACCAGGACAGACCATTTCATGTGGTCTTTTTTTACGCCAGCGATTTTGCGATCGGCTGTGCGTTAATGCAGTACGACTCAGACGGCGTTGAGCGCGCCGTCTGTTATCAATCGCGTCACCTGTAAGCAGCTGAGCGTAATTACCCTGTGCATGACAAGGAACTCCTTGCCATAAACTACACACTGGCCAAGTTCCGGATACATCTCTTAGGAGATAGGCCCTTCATTGTTTACACCGACCATGCGTCATTACGCATGGCCGTAAACAGTCCACACCTCTCGCAACGAATGTCGAGGTGGCTGGATTTCTTTGCGGAGTACAACTTCTCCGTCGACTATAAACCAGGACGACTCAATGTCGTCGCTGATGCTCTTTCACGTCGGCCCCGATTTCGAGCCGACTGCCCAACCAACGGTAGGGGGGTGATCCCACTGTTGCTGCACTATCAGTGAGTGTTTCGTCGTCCAACCTGCTCGACGACGTGCGAAAATCTTACGAGGAAGATGAGTCTCTTCTGGGGTTGATGGACAACGTGTCTAATCCATGCAGTCAAGCTTTGAAAAGCTTGGCGTCTCAATACCGCTCTTCAACCGAATGGTATTCGGTTAGTGATGGACTTCTGTACTGTACAGCAGTCAACGGAGACGCACCTCGTGTCGTCGTTCCCGCTCATGATAATTTGCGATTACGCATCATGTATGAGTGTCACGATGCCCCGACCAGTGGGCATCGCGGTAGAGAAAAGACTTACCTCACGGTAAGACGTGACTTCTACTGTCTCTCTAGTGTGAAATTATGCGCAAGTGTGTTGGTGATTGCGAGGTTTGTCAGCGAGTGAAGTCTAGTCCTTCATCCCGTGCTCCCTTGCAGCCTCTACCGATTCCAAAAGAGTGCTGGCAACCCGTATCGATGGACTTCATCCTTGGGTTTCCGAAAGATGCTCACAAGAAAACTGGTATTCTTGTGTTTGTTACTCCGTTCAGCAAGATGGTACATATTGTTGCTGTACCGTAGTCCATCACACCCCAGGCCTGTGCTCGTGTCTTCATCGATACGATCTTCCGACTTCATGGGTTGCCCCGTGAACTCGTGACTGACAGGGACCCCCGCTTCACCGCGGAGTTCTGGCAATCCGTGTTCCGTTCACTCGGAACACGTTTGAAGGTGTCGATTTCTTACCAATTTAAACTAGATGGTCAGACGGAACGCGTCAACCGCGTCCTCGAAGAGATACTTTGAGGGTATGTCCACTCGTTTATGAGTTGGAGTGAGTTCTTGCCGATGGCGGAACTCGCCATCAACATCCTGGTGCATGCGTCTACTTCGCATACACCGTTCCTCGTAAATGGCCAATGACATCCTTGTTTACCCGCCTTCTTAGAGTGTGAATCTAGTCTAACGAGTGGGTGGGGACTCGCTCGAACAAAAACCGATCTGGCTCTTGCTCATGATCCGTCGAAAATGGTGTCGACGTGATGGATGCCGATGTCGATGAGATCGATGTCGATGATGACGATGACGACGATGCTGGCAAATTCAACATCGCCAATGACCGCCAAAGTGAGGACGATGATACCCTCACTGGTGAAGACGCCGTTCTATTTAGCAGTGCGTACAAAGCGCACTGTTATTACCAAGGATGAATCAGCAGAGGAATTTCTGCTGACTCGCGAATTGGTTGTCCGCTTCTTTCAGTTCTCAATTGCAGATGCAACAGACAAGCAGAAAAGAAGCGCAGAAAAAATGGAAGGGAAAACGCTCTTTTATTTAATGGCGGAGACTTAGTTTAATTGTGCTCAGTAAATTTACCAAAACATGCAGTGACAAATGTGGGCACCAGAAAACTACTGTCCAAGTATATCAATTCGTTTCGTGTATTGCTCCGCATGGGCAACGCATAAACAATCGAAATTTCTTGAAAGATGAGCACGCAGCCTACGTTTTACGTTGGACTTCTCCGCCCGTACTGTCAGTACGAGTCCATTTCGAGAGGCGAAGAACACTTCCACGATCAAGGGGCAAGACCACCTTCGAGCGGTCCCGTTTCAATGATCCAGTCTGATCGGCTAGCGAAGCGACCTGCTCGCACAGCTGAGCGATGTCCTGACGAGCTGCAGTCAGCTCGTCCTGAAGAGAACGAACCTAACATTCGTTTTCAAGTTGCGCAAACGCAAACACGGCGCGATCGTCCGAACGATCGTGTGATATGGCATTGTAATTTCCCTTCACGAGATCATGGAGCTCGTAACGCCGAGTCCGCTCGTGAAGCAGATCATCGTGTAACTCTTTCTTTACACGGTTCAGTCCCTGAACATCAAGCTGATCCGACACATGAGCCGGATCAGGCGTTCCCGCCACCACCACATCCTTTGGTGGATTCTGGCGGTGGTCAACGCTATCTAGTAGAGCGTATCTTGAACCACCGCGACGTGAATGGAGTCGAGACGAGTTACCTCATCTGCTGGCGTGGCTATCTACCGATTTAAGACAGCTGGGAGCCTCGTGCCCAGCTGTTCGCTGATGTTCTGGGTCTCGTCGAAAAGTATGACGATACCCACCCGCTGCGTTCGAAGAAGGCCGTCGGAAAACGACCTCCCCGAATGCGAGTGAAGGGGTTGCAAAGGTCAATTCCTTTAGCCACCTCAGCTGAGATGCGCGCCTTCCAGTTTGAAGCAGTAGAGAGGTAGGCCTCCCTAGGGGCACGATTACCATTGTCAGGGCACCCTGGACATCGATCGCCCCAAACGATACAGGGCAACTCTGCCTCTATTGACTTTCGGTTCAACTTGTACCGCAACCCGACTGGGCTGCATGCTTCAAACCTGATGCGAGCTGCATCAAGTTTACCGAGCCAAAACTCACGGCCATTACACTCGATGCTGTGGGTGAGGGCATTTCATCTTTGGACCAAGGCTTTGCCGTCTCGAACAAGGCTATCATTGTACCACCGATGTTTAAAGAACGCATCGGTGAAGAACTCTTCCTCAGCACGGATAGTTTCCGTGCTGGAATCAGGAGGGCGAATCTTCTTGCAATCGTATAACGGGATTCGATCCCGTTCGGTGGCCATGCCGGCCAACCGGTCCAACTCTCTGGATGGCGGCGTCCATGGAGACTCCACTTGTGGAGCGTGGCGCAGGTCAATTCGGTCCCTGGCCTCTTGATTGGTGTCAGCATGAGCACTGACACCAGTAGCAGCTCGATCCCTCGTGTTACTTCGCTCATGGTGATGTTTAGACGCATCACCACCACCACCACGCGTCCTATCGTTGGATGAACTTGCGTGAGGCAACGATTCGTCGGAACAATCGCTCGGTTCGAAGATCTCGAGCATGATGCCGCCAAGTTCTCCAGAGCCTGTCAAACTGGCTCTTGAAGTGTCTGCCCCGGATGACCCGGAGGCGTGTGGTGTCGCCTTTAATTTGAAAGCATCATACGACTCGCCAGAATCGATGATCTCTATCTCATACTCATCTGCATGGAGATTCGCACTACCCGCTGCAGACGCAGTGGATGTTCCTGTCGCACGTGGTGACTCACCACGTGGACTGTTCACAACAACAGGCGACGAATCACCTGCCGCTGAGGCGTGAGAAGAACTGTCTCCGGCTGCACGCATGCGTGCTGCCGCTTCTCTCGCTGCTGCAGTAGCAACTCGCATGAATTTCGAAACCATGCGTTGGATTGGCAAATGAGTGGAATTTGACCAACAAGTGCTCCCTTTCCCAGAGTGATGTAAGGTTGGTCACCCAGTCCTAATCAATTCTATTCAATCAACGGGTGGTTAACGGTTAAAGGGGGGGTGATGTAAAGGGGTAGCCCGTTATATGATATTGATATCAAATAATGTCAAAGGGGGTATTTTCTAGCATGACAATATTTCTACCAATGTTATTCAAGATGGATAATATTGAAGGAATATTATTCCTTCTGTAGATAATTCTCATGCGCTGCATAAAGACTGGTTGATGAAGACATACCAATTATAGATTACTACCAACCGCTGCTAGAAGCGCGCGATCGGGGGTGAGCAGGCCGTCGTCATTCGACGAAGTGGTTTGATATAGTAAGATAAAGATTAATCTTATATTGATAGCCTATATGTAATAAATGCAGTTCTCCTTTTAACCTTTTCTCAAACGAGTCGTTTGAGTAGATTAGCTTCCTCTGCACGTACGAGTGTACGTGAAGTTTCGTGGCACCCCAAACAAAGAGTGCCCCGTTACACCGCTCAATCGACACTGCGAGTGCAGCGTGCTCGAGGCAAGCTCTAGACCTCTTCGGATTTCCTACAAGAAGGATTCCCTTTGAGTGGCCGCCCCTAAAGGAGGAAAAGATTGGCTGAGCTGAACAATTGAAATGTGAATCGACCAACAGGGTAAAATTAAAGGTAGAGCAAGAATAGTTACCCATAAATACTTTACCCTAGCTTTCCGCGGCCTATTTCTAACTGCCAAGATAATTTGTGGACCGAGCAAAATTTGGCCGCCTTTCGAACGTGACTTCTCCATCCGCAAGCGTCCACACGTACTAGGAATGCGGTGCTCGCCCGTTGCGGGCTATCGCAATACGTGAACATCGAGCTGCAGCTACTGCTGTACGCGGGCCCGACTTCATGCTTGTCTTAAATTACTGTTTTAAGAGCCCTGGAGACACCCGCCCTACGCGGGTGTCAGCCACGATCCGCTGCCGCGACCGGTGTAACGGGGTGAATCGTTACAAAACAATTTAAAAGAAATTGTTAATAGAATTTAACTTTAAGAGTTGTATTCTCAGAATATTGTCATAAGGACAAATATTCTGTAGCACTTACGAGTAGTTCCTAGTTGGTTGATATAGACCATTGCATCAACCAAAGAAGACGCGCCACGACAGACGCACGCAATGAGTGGTGAGCAGATAGTTGATATGCACATTCGTATTTAGACATAGTCAGATGAGGATAAATAGTGATTTATTAACCGACATTAACTATTATAAATACAGTTCTACTTTTTACTGTAACTAAGTACTCGCTTCTTCTTACCGTCTTCCTCTGCACGTACGAGTGTACGTGAAGTTCCGAGGCACCGCCTTATTCTGTCATCAGAATAAGTAGCTTGTACTGTCACCAGTACAAGCTTCAGGGTGCCCCGTTACACCTGGTAGCACTTTGTAGTCTGTCCAAGGACCACGTTCACATCTAACATGAATATGTTGGATGATGAAGATGACCAAAGCTTTCACGCTACGCGTGACGGCTACCTTCATTTGAGCGATGTCGAATGGGGTGCGGTTGAACGTATGGGTTTAACCATGGGCATCCATGCTGTTAGCATCATGCTAGAGGCTCTCAATAGAGATGCCCAACATGCTACTATCGCCAAGTTCATTCAAAATGAACTTGACGCTGAACGCGAGAAAGTAGCCTTGCTTCACCAACAAGTTTCTCAACAAGCAGAGTTGTTGAGAGAACGGGGTGCTCAACATTTTGAACTGTTGAGACAGCAGCAGGCTGCTGCTGGTGGGTCGATGCACTCGCGTCGACCCGAGACCTTGAAGATTGACATCTCTAAGTATAGGGGAGTCGAAGAGGACTCCCTCTTGAGATGGTTCGTCGAATTGGATGACGCCATAAGGGCGCGTCGCATCGACGATGGAGAAATGCACGTTGCATTTGCCGAATCAAATCTGGCAGGACGTGCCAAGACTTGGGCACTGGGGCTTAAGTTGCACGACCCATATGCGTTTGGGTCGTTGGAAGTCTTCAAGTCGCGGCTCAGACAAACGTTTGAACTGCCTAGAGCTGAGTTCAGAGCTCGAACCGAACTCTTGAAGCTCAAACAGGGTAAGCGTGATGTGCACGCTTACGCGCAACATATACGACATCTCACGAGTTGTATCAGTTCCAATCCGGTGGATGAACACACGTTGGTTTCGGTGTTCATGCAGGGTCTTGCGGATGGTCCCGTCAAAACTCAACTGTTCCTACTTGAACTAGATTCACTAGGACAAGCCATTTCCATGCGGAACAGGAAGACTTCAGTCTGAGACAGGCTCGCGCCAGCTCGACATCGTATCGTCAACCGAGACGATATGAAAACGGAGGTCCAGAGCCGATGGAACTCTGTTATGTAGAGAGCGAGAAGGCTTGCTCTACAGACTACAAGAAGTTGCAGAAATGCAACAGATGTCAGAAGACAGGACACTACGCTTACGAGTGTAGTGCCCCTCGTCCAGTGTCTCGCAACACTGGGCGTAGTGACCGTCCACCCATGAGAAAGGGGCAGGGACGCGGGTCCGCTATTGGTGCAAAGACGCAACAACGGGATGGACCGTCAAAAAAAAACGGACAGGATCAGTAGGTGCGGAGCACCCTACTGGTCCAGCAACGTCAAGAGAATTTGTAGGCCTCTTGATGAAGGTTGCTCCCAACACACAAACGTTGTGCGTTGCTGCTCTAGGTAATGAGATCTCGCACCTTACCTTGAAACTCGAAGTGACGAATAAGTTGTCCCTTCGAGCTCTAGTCGATTGTGGGGCGTCCAACAATTTTGTGCGACGCCAATCGCTAGAATATGGTCACTTTAAGTTCAGTGAATGTGACACACCTCCTACGAGGATGACGGTACGTCGTGCGACAGGCGCATCCGTAAACGTCATGAAGCGTATAGTGAAGATCCACTATACGCTAGAAGATACCCAATATGACGATGACTTTATCGTATTGGATTTGGATGACAAATTTGATGTCATCCTTGGAATACCGTGGCTCAGAAGGTACGAACCACGGGTAAACTGGCAACATCGAACAGTAACGATGCCTGCCGCTTGTTCATCAGATGGCCATCTGATGAACGTTTTGGAGCGTCCACAAGCGTGTGGATGTACTACGAGTGAGTGCGATGGCCTCACTTGTGGTACGGTCGTTAGTACGACTGCACAAAACCTTAGTGTAACAAACGGTTACACTTCGGAGCAAAGTTCCGGTGGCTGTGAGGAAACACAGGCTGCGCCGAAGGTCCACCACTCGAATAAGTCGAGTAGACCGGGACAAAGATGTATCCCTAGCAGGGAACATCTAGAAGAGAAACAATCGATTGCTCAGGTTAAGCGAAACGATAATCCTAGATCGACTGGAGAGTCTTTCGTAGAGGATCTCGCTGTGGTTGCGCAACCCCAGCTAGAGGAAGTAAAGGGAATAAGTCCCGATATTATAAATACGGCGAAAATAAGTTCCCCGAAACCCGCGGGAATAAGTCCCCGGGAAGCCGAAGTAATAAGTCCTTCGAAGCCTGAGGGAATAAGACCCCCGGAAATGACAGAGACATTGAATGTCATAGTCAATAACGGATCAAGTGTAGGCGCTTATACACTTGATCTGATTGCGCCTCCGAAGTTAACTTCGGAGATCACTCAGTTGCCAACGCTCGAACATAAAAGATTCTTGCGTGATCTGCGTAGTGGCAAAGTCAAGCAGATCTGCATACTCGTCGCTGAAGACGAGTATGTAACCGACATAAGGTCAGCAACAGTGTTTACTGAGAACGAGAGAGTTCTCAGTAGTTCATCTTTGGACGAGAGCGTCCTCGATGAAAAGACACGAGCTGAGCGATATGACTCCCAATCGTGGGAATCGCTCAAGACAAATCCTCTCTATGAAGATTTGGTTGAATTCAAGGATGTATTCCCTGAAACTGTTCCGTGCGAATTACCGAAGGATAAAGGTATTCGACACGAGGTCGAGCTTAAACCAGGCTCGAAGTACTGTGTCATGAAGCAGTGGTCACTGCCTCGTGAACAAGTACTTGCGATCGACAAGTTCTTTGCCGATCGTTTAGCTGCGGGCCATGTGAGGGAATCAACTTCCCCACATAGCTCTCCGACCTTCTGTGTGCGCAAAGCAACAGGAGGGTGGCGGATAGTGTAACGGGGTGAATCGTTACATAACAATTTATTAGAAATTGTTAATAGAATTTAACTTTAAGAGTTGTATTCTCAGAATATTGTCATAAGGACAAATATTCTGTAGCACTTACGAGTAGTTCCTAATTGGTTGTTATAGGCCATTGTATCAACCAACGAAGACGCGCCACGACAGACGCACGCAATGAGTGGTGAGCAGATAGTTGATATGCACATTCGTATTTAGACATAGTCAGATGAGGATAAATAGTGATTTATTAACAGACATTAACTATTATAAATACAGTTCTACTTTTTACTGTAACTAAGTACTCGCTTCTTCTTACCGTCTTCCTCTGCACGTACGAGTGTACGTGAAGTTCCGAGGCACCGCCTTATTCTGTCATCAGAATAAGTAGCTTGTACTGTCACCAGTACAAGCTTCAGGGTGCCCCGTTACACCTGGTAGCACTTTGTAGTCTGTCCAAGGACCACATTCACATCTAACATGAATATGTTGGATGATGAAGATGACCAAAGCTTTCACGCTACGCGTGACGGCTACCTTCATTTGAGCGATGTCGAATGGGGTGCGGTTGAACGTATGGGTTTAACCATGGGCATCCATGCTGTTAGCATCATGCTAGAGGCTCTCAATAGAGATGCCCAACATGCTACTATCGCCAAGTTCATTCAAAGTGAACTTGACGCTGAACGCGAGAAAGTAGCCTTGCTTCACCAACAAGTTTCTCAACAAGCAGAGTTGTTGAGAGAACGGGGTGCTCAACATTT